TTATGTTCTTAATATTTATAAAATATGGTGGACACACAGTTTGCTAAAAATAGCTTAGAAACCCATTTATTTTAAAATATTTAAAGTAAATCTGTCACTCAAGAGAATAATAATTTCTCTGAAACCAGGTAAATAAATAAAAATATTTTATTGTGTATCAAAATATTGGAATTTCTGATAGAAATCCCAGTAGACCTTTAACAAGGTGTCTGGTATGTTTAAGGAATATTAAACAGAACTAAAGAATAATAAATAGACTAAAAGGCCAACTTCTTAGCAAATGGTATTTTACAAGGAGATCACAAAATAATATTTGAGTAGGATAAATGGGGATTATCTGCAGCAAGTTTCATGCTGAAGATGTTTCTAAAATTATGCTATAGCCTCCTTCCAGTACTTAGTTTATTTATCACAGAAGTATAGATTCCTGATGCTAAATTTAAGCATGACCAAGTTGATGAAACCTTAGCGTTTTTTATTAAATTTGTCATTTTTCTGAGTTTAACAGCACTAGTCAATGAGAATACAGATTAAAATTTAGCAACTATTAATAATCCCAGACTTATATCTGTCACAATGTATTTCTTTCTTAAAAAAATAAGTATAATATTTAATTTTGAATCCTATGATAGAAGATACAGACCAAATAAGTTCTGCTTTACTATTTGGAGTTTTATCTCCAAAAGTATATAATTAATTTGTAAATATTAAAGCAAACAGACATTTATAAAGACAATTTCTAATGGTTGGAGGGAAAATTGTAATCATATTTATTATTTGATTGTTATACACTTGCATTTTAAACTTTAGAGAATTAGTGTACAGCTCATCAGCCAAAACTTTAGCAAAGACAATTTGGCCAGCTACAAAAGGTTTAAAGAGGATAATTGAAACAAGATAAAACATAATTGAAAAAGGAATATTCAGCAACAGTAAGTGTGGAATTTGGCTTTCGGATGAAGGAAACATGATTCAAAGTGTCCTATTAATATATAAAACATAAAGCTATTTATGTTTTATATATTAAAAAGGTTTAGACTTTGAAGTACCTTGAATTAAAAATGAAAAAGAATGTCATAAGTGTGATTCTGGAGAATATGCTTTTCTGTAGATATATGCTAATTTACAGAGAATATTGCAATACAGTATCCATTGAACATTACCTAATCCAAAGGCTATAATAAATTCCAAACCAAATTTGAAGAACCGATTGAGATTAATATTATTTAGTAATAAGTTTAATTTTACCTACATGAGTAATATTCTCTAATTTGAACCTCCCAAATAAGATCATATTGTGACAAATTTATTTCAGTAATTTTAATACTTGGCCATGTTGGCTGCGTGCAAGGCAAATGCCCTACCCGCTGTGCTGTCGCTCCAGCGGGAGAGATAGTACAGCGGGTAGGGCGTTTGCTTTGTGTGCTGCCAGCCCGAATGAGCCAGGTTTGATTCCTCCGCCCCTCTTGGAGAGCCAGGCAAACTACCAAGAGTATCTTGCCCGCACAGCAAAGCCTGGCAAGCTACCCGTGAAGTATTCAATATACCAAACACAGTAATAACAAGTCTCAAAATAGTGACATTACTGGGCCCTCTCGAGCAAATCGATGAACAACTGGGAGGACAGTGTTTGACAGTTGATGCTTGAGTATTTAAATGAGAAAAGCAAAATAGAGTAATTAAGTCAACTAACTCAATGCGGTTGGAAAAAGGGAACATAAGCTTAAAATTTTCAAACATACTGATTATAATGTCTTCTTGCAAAAGTAAAAAAGGAATATTGGGGTCACATTCAGCAGTGAGTAGAGTGCCCACTCCCTAGAAAAAGTCACAAATTCCAAATAACATTTCGAATAGTATTTTCACACCCTGCCTTGGTGGGGGAGGCCAGCAGCATTTTCTTTTTGTTTGGTTTCCCAAGAAGGCATTCAGGCTTCCTTTTTAATTTTTGTTTTTTGTGAAAAAAGTATGGTTGACCAAATATGTATGGAAAATTCTGATTTAGAGTCTAGGACTATCATATCTCGATACTGTAACTCAATAATATACTACATTTTTTCTTCATATATAAGTTTCAGGAGAATTAAAGCTCTCGGAGAAGCTTCAGTTATTTTAGAGGAATTGTACTATACCAAACTATGAAAAAAATTCAAAATGCATAAAATACCTCGATATCAGACCTGAATCCATAATTATATTTAGACAGAATACCTCATTATATTTAATATATAGGTATCTTCAATGATTCAATGTCATTAACCAAGAATATGGAAGCAAGGGTAAACAAATGGAACTACATTAAGCTGAGAAGTTTCTGTACTTTAAAAGAAATGATGACCAGAGTCAAAAGACATCCCTCAGACTGGACAGAATATTCACCACCACTCAATCTGACAGAGTTACTATCCAATATATATATATATATATATAAAGTACTGATATAACAAAACAAAGCAAAACAATTGTATGGGGAGATGAATGAACAAATTTCCTCAAAGAAGATGTACCAATGGTCAGCAGGTATATGGGAAAAAATGCTCTGTATCACTTAGCATAAGGGAAGTGCAAAACAAAACAACAAATGGGAAATCATTACACACCAATGAGATTGGCACACACCATAAAGAATAGAAGCAAAAATTAGAGGTATGAAGGTGGAAGAAAAGGAACAGTCATTCACTACTGGTAGGAATGTCAGCTGGTTCAGTCATTTTGGAAAATATGGGCATGCCTCATGAAACTACTAATTATTCTTCCAAATGACCCAGCAATCCCAAATCTTGTCATCAAACTCTATTCCAAAATGACATTTTCACCCCTATGTTCATTGCAATATTATTTACCAGAGTCAGAAATGATAACACAGTGATAGGGCGTTTGCCTTGCGTGCAGCCAGCCTGGCCGAGCCAGGTCCAATTCCTCCGCCCCTCTCTGAAAGCCTAGCAAGCTACCGAGAGTATTCAGTATGCCAAACACAGTAAAAAAAAGTCTCATAATCGAGATCTTACTGGGCCCGCTCGAGTAAACCGATGAACAACGGGAGGATAGTCAGAAATATGTAAACAACTCAATTGTCCAAGAGCGAATGACTGTCTAACTATGGAATTTATACACAAGTGAATACTACTTAACTCTAAGAAAAGATGAGATCATGCGATTTGCTACAACATGAATGGATCTGGAGAGTATCATAATGAATGAAATGAGTCAGAAGTAAAGGTAGGGAATTATCTCTCTCAAATTTGGAATATAAAAAATGATTATAATAAGGAAATAAGAAATGGCTAAAGGCAACAGAAACCAAGAATTTGCCTCTAGTAGGAAACTTACCATGGAGGGGGATCAGGGCTTGGGAGATAGAATAAAGAAGATGTCACTGTAACTATCATGAAGAAAGTAAACATGCTTGTAATGGGCATGATGTGGGAACATTTTATGTATGAAACCCTACCACTAACAGTATTGTAAATCACATTGCCTAAAACAAAATTGGAAAAAATAATTGTACTATGTTAAATTAAATGAGTCAGAAAGAGAGGGGCAGACATAGAAATATTGCACTCATTTATGAAATATAAAGTAACAGAATGAGAGACTAACACTCAAGAACAGTAGAGATAAGTACCAGGAGAATTACTCCACAGCTTAAAAGCTGGCCTCGCATGCTGGGGGAAAGGGCAGCTCAGATAGAAAAGGGACCACCAACTAAAGGGTGCTAGGATAGCCCACTCAGGATGGGAGATGAGGCTATCATATAGACCGAATATGATAGCCACTTAATACCTTTAATGCAAACCACAACACCCAAAAGGACAGAGATAACAAAAGGGAATTTCCTGCTACAGAGCCGGGTTGAGGTGGAGAGGATGGGGTGGGGATGGTGGGAGGGATGCTGGGACCATTCGTAGTGGACGAATGGGTACTTGGGCATTGGTGGACGGATGGGTACTTGGCCATTGTATGACTGAAATGCAAGCACGAAAGTTTGTAAGTCTGTAACTGTACCCTATGGTGATTCACTAATAAAAACTTTTTAAAAAAAGAATTATACTATAAGATATATAAAGTTTTCTAATTTAAAATAGTGGTAGAATCTATTCAGTACATTATTAAGGTCATTAAAAACAGAACCTTCCTGTTGAGTGTAAGATGTAATAGACACCATAAATATTTATAGACATTTCATAAAGTGAATGCAACAAATTTTAACACACATGGAGACAATATTTCCCTTCGTTGTAGCATTTAGTTTAATTAATTAGGCAAAGTATATCAAGGAGATTTCTGTATAAATGGTAGAACTGCTGACATTTTCATTAGATGATAATTTTTTCCAAAACAAAATATTTAGGGTGATTTAAAGTGGAGAGAAAATATGGAGTGAAGACACTGATTAAGAAGTCTGCTTGTGATGCAGAAAAAAGTAACTATTTGGTGAAAAATCTCCTCCATAACCAATGATAACAATATACAATGTAATGGTTAAGAAACTGAAGCCATTTTCAGTCCCTTGCTAATATTATTTCTTTATAATATTGTCTTTACCTTTTTCTTATTTTGTACTCACAGATCTCAGGGGGTATTTTACTGGACATTTCTTGAAGGTCAAAGCAAATGAGACATATTAACAATTAGTTTGACATTAATATTTTGCTAAGTTAATTTGATAATATTCCCTTTTTTTAGTTTGCTAAGTCATATGTTCATATCATAACCAAGCAGATGCTTTCTTTCTATCTACAAAACTGGAAAAACATAGCAATTTTCAAAGCCTGTTCACACACATTTGTTTGCTTCCAAATAAGAATTCCATTACAGAGGTTTTGAAGATAAACTTGATATATGCTTGTTTTTAATATTCAATTGAAAAGTAAAAGCATTGGCTTTTTTGGCATTATTTTAATCTATACTAATAAATAAAAATGCTTCATTCCACAAATTACTGCCAATGTTTTTCTGGAAGCAATGAGATTATCATTGACTATACTTTGTCTCTTCAGATAAATTTACAGAGAAAAATGAGAGTCACTGGTGTGATAACTCAAGGAGCCAAAAGGATTGGAAGCCCTGAGTATATAAAATCTTACAAAATTGCCTACAGCAATGATGGAAAGTCTTGGACAATGTACAAAGTGAAAGGTACCAGTGAGGATATGGTAAGAATGACTTAAACTTTAAACATTTTGAATACAGTCCCATTTATAATCTTTGGTTAGGGCTAGAGAGAAAGCTCAGTGATCTGGGTGCATGTTTTGCATGCAGTACGCTAGAGGCTGAGGCTTAGTCTTGTTCTCACATTGTTCCTGAAGGACTGCCAGAAGAAAGCACTGAGAAAAGATCCAGAAGTAACCCCTGAGAACTGAGTGGTGTGTGACAGAAAAATCAGATCAACTGCAGCAGCATCAATGATCACTCTAATATCTATGAGACTTCAGCAAAAGCCTTAGAGCACTGAAAATAAATTTATGATTATAAATATCAGACTTGTAGAGGGTGTAAGGTGTTTTTCCAACTGAGTTTATTAGGTTTACCATCTTAAGACTTTCTCATAAGATTGTTTGATTGATGTTCCTAGAAACACCTAAGCACAAGGTTAGCATGGCCTTCATATGGCAGCTTTTATTTTAACAAGAGTTCTCAGTTTTATTTTAATTCTTTGACAGATTATCATTCTCTTCAATCCAATAACTCTGGATTGTGTCAGTTATCTTTAAATAAAAGCTGTAAGTGATAGAAAAGATGATATGTATCATTGTCACTGTCATGGTCACTGTCCTCCCGTTGTTCGTCGATTTGCTCCAGAGGGCCCAGTAACATTGTGAGACTTGTTACTGTGTTTGGTATATCGAGTACGTCACGGGTAGCTTGCCTGGCTCTTGGAGAGGGGCAGAGGAATCGAACTCGGGTTGGCCATGTCTGCCGCATGCAAGGCAAACGCCCTACCCACTGTGCTATTGCTATTATTATATAGTTCATATGTGGAAATATTATTTAGAAGAGTAAAATATTCTAAGGTGATGATAAAATATTCTTTGTCTCCCTTTTAAAATATACCTATTTTTATTTTTTCATAATTTTAAAATAAAACATGCCATACTGTTGTGTATACCATTGAAAACTACCGTTAAGATAATGAATTTTATGAAAATATTTTAAAATTATGTTCTAGAATTAATTTAGAGTTGTTTTAATGACCAGTTATATAAACTGTAAAATAAGAATGAGGCCTAAATCAATTATAGCACAATATAAATCTTTAAAGGAAGCATAGTTTATCAGTATATATTTTTTACATATATATTTTGTGAATCTTAGCAAACATTCTAAAACAGAATGTTAAGGAAGTAGTCTTGAGTAATCAGACATGTGCCTCACAAATCTCGTCAGAGTAATAGACAGAATGAATTATCTGGAAAATATAGTAAAAGCCAGTTCTTACAAAACAAAAATAAACAAGTATAACTATTGAGTAGCAGAATAGGTGGTTTGGCTAACATCAAGTTGGAATATTCAGTGCGCTTTTCTCAAAGAGAAAGGTGGGGAGAAAGAGTGTGTATCACTTCTCAACTCTGAAGGACTAGTAATAAATTAAATAAGACCATCACATGATAGATTATACCATAAACCAGTTACTTATGGCTTTAATTAGGATGTTATCTCTAGGTTTTATATTCACTGCTGATATCAAGGTGTTTTCTAATGATCCAGGCACCAAATTATTTAGTCCAATAATTGAAGGAATATGTTGGCTAGGATACTGTGTAATTACAGGAAAATAAGAAACTGTTGACGCTAATCATTTTACACTTTATCTCCTTACACAGGTGTTCCGCGGAAATGTCGATAATAATACACCTTATGCTAACTCTTTCACACCCCCCATAAAAGCTCAGTATGTTAGACTCTATCCTCAAGTTTGCCGAAGACACTGCACTTTGAGAATGGAACTTCTTGGATGTGAACTGTCAGGTCAGACTCATTACCTATTTCTTTACCTCAAAAATAAAATAAATAAATGCATATAACATATAATCGACTACTAACTACAGTGTCTTAACATTGATCAGAGATCAATTTCTGATATGAAACATCAAAGGGAGTGGACCAGTGAGAAAACATGTCTGTGTGTTTGTGAGTTAAAAATTTTTAAACTATGCTAGAGAATAGAATTGATGAAGAAGGAGCAACATGTTTTTTTGAATGACCAAAAAAGAAGCAGTTTGGGAAATTTGGTAAAAAATTTCATTGTATTTAGTACTCGTTTGTTGACAGAAGTTGAGAAAAACTGGATTCTCCCTAACCACATAATTTGCATTTACATATTATGGGTGCTATGACATAGAAAATAAGTTTCAATCTTTGTTCATCTATCATAAAAACTTTCTTGCTTCTGATTGGATTTTTGGGGGGGGGTGAAGCAATGAGAATGCAATATTAAGATTGATACCATAAATTTATTCTTATATATTATATAATATTCTTAATATTTATCTAGTAATTAATTTTATAGCACAGCGGGTAGGGCATCTGCCTTGCACGCAGCCAACATGGCCGACCCGAGTTCAATTCCTCCGCCCCTCTCGGAGAGCCCGGCAAGCTACCGAGAGTATTCGATATGCCAGACACAGTAACAACAAAGTCTCCAATGGAGACGTTACTGGGCCCGCTCGAGCAAATCGATGATCAACGGGAGGGCCTTACTTTATATATAATATTCTTAATATTTATCTAGTAATTAATTTTTACTTTTTAAAATAGTTATCCAACTTTTAGATAATCTATCAGAGATTTCAGATTTAAATAATTCTTATTTCCCAAGAGGTGAAAGCTGTATTTATTGATCTCATGGTAGTCGTTTTATCATATAGTTAGTTGCCAAACTAATCAATTTTATTCTAAAGGATATTTCTGTGATATATATTATATGCACATGCATGTGTATATATTGTACATATACCGATTAGCTCCTTTTCTGTGTCTATACTTAGATTTGCAAACTATCTTCCCCACTGTGACCTTGGGTTATTTTGTAAAAACTTAAAAACTGAAGAAAATTAAAATTCATGTGTATATCACTTTTAATATAATTTTAAACAAAACTTCCAAGTATGAAAGAGCTTTATCAATTTATAATACTATAATTTGTTTTAAAATAGTATGATGCATCTGTTTAGTAAGAAGAATGAAGGCTTTTATTTCTTTCAAAAATTTGCCTGTGGTGTAGAGCACATGTTTTATATAGGTTTCCCTACTTGGCTATGTTTGTGATGCTGACAATGGGAATGATTTTTAACAGCTAATTTTAAAATGAAGCCATAACATTAAAAAAACTAAATTAATTTTGCCTAAACTGTGAGTCTATATTAAGAATAACATTTTCATATTAAAAATGGATGTCTTTTATGAAGCAGTCAACATACAGTTTAGTACCAATAATTATCTTAAAGGAATGTTTTCCCAATTTTAGTAATTCAAGCCAGCTTTTTGACTACCAGTAATTCTCAGCAGAATTATTGGTGTACAGTGTTTATATTGCACACCACTAAATCACCTCAGGCCACTGTCATTCCTAAGCCATTCATCATAAAGCAATCAACAGGAAGCCAAAGTACGATGAGGTTTGCTGCAAGCCCTGTGGTTTTTAGTTGCTTAACATGACCTTCTCCAATTTTTCAGTCTTTTGATTCATGAGGATTAGTCTCTCATATGTGATACAGTTACACCCTAAGGTATGAATATATTTTACTTCCAAGTTTGACAAGAGGTTACACCTGACACTTTACAGATTTTATGTGCTCCCAAAGAAGGCTCTATCCCATTTGCCAACCCTGTGAATTTATTTTGAACCCTCATGCTGAGTAATAATACCTCTCAGTAGATGCTTTTTGAAGCTAGAGCACCTCACGACTGGAATAATCAGTTTCATTGTCAATACTTAATTTTGTTCATGTGTTTTTCCAGACTGATACAAACGTTAATTAATTTATATGTCTGAAATCACATAGACAAGAAAAGATATTGGAGAAATGAGGAAATTTGACAGAGAGGTTAACTATGGATTTGGAAAGAAACAGTAATAAAATATATCAAAACCATTTCCCACAATCCACTGCGGCACTGTAAAACCCAAGGATGCCTTTTTGAAGTCAATAAATTGTTATAAGATCTCTGAGCCTGCTAGGTGATAAGCAGTTTCTTCTCACTCAGAAACATTAAAAGAAAATCTCTTAACTTCTCTGAAAGAGATGTGGTTTAAACTGTTTAGAATAAAATGGATCTTGACTTTAATTATGGGAGCAATACCATTCAGTCATTCCTCTGAACACATTACTTTTTACTTTCCTTTGCTATATACTGTACAGTTAGTGTGAGTATGAAATGGTCAAAATAATGGTACCCATTTTATATCTAATAATTGAAATATTCTGGTATATCAAAAAAGGGGGAAATCAACTGTTTCTTTCCCCTATCTCTTCTCTTCTTTCAGTCATTTATGTTTTCAAAAACTCCAATAGCAGGCAGAGGGTAGGTAGTTTGTGAAAGTAATAGAAAAACAATTTGGAAATTGATAATGTAGACTATCTACATGTTACCTTAGAGTAGAGAGGCTTAGAAGGGGAAAAAGGAGAAGAAAAGAATTATAACATTATTTACAAAACCTCAAATCTAGAAACAATCCAATCTAGAAACAACAGATAAAAGTTAAAGAAATTGTGGTTTATAAACACAGTGGAAAACTGCTCAGCTATGAGAAAAGATGAAATCATGGTGATTGCTGCGACTTGAATGGAATTGGAGGGAGGCATGCTAAGTGAAACAAGTCATAAATAAAATTATGATCTCACCTATTGGTAGCATAAAAGTAAGCAAAACAAGGGATTTCATGATTCCCAATGGAAATAAATTCTGAGATATACTCAATAGTGACCTACAAGAATTGAGAGATGATATCTTGGGAAGAAGCAGGTAGAGTGACCCAAGTACTCTGTTGGTAGGCATGGAGCAGCAGCACTTTAGTATAAAATTGTATTAGTTTTATTGCAAGTGAAAACTGGTTATTTTTAAAAAATAGAAAAAACAATATAAAAAGTTTGGAGCTTTCTAGACTTTTGGATATTTGTTGTAAAAAAAATTTCTCTCCAGATATTTAAGATTCACGGCTGGGGACCAGAATTCTAGTACAGCAGGTAAGGCATTTGCCTTGTACACAGTTGACCCGGCTTCACTTCGGGACATTTCATATGGTCCCTTGAGCCCCACTCGTGGTGATTTCTGAGCATAGCCATGAGTAACCCATGAGCATCACCGGGTGTGACCCAAAAACCTTAAAAAAAAAGATACAGAGTCATTTTTCATTTTCAGATTCAGAGGATTGGAGTATAAGTGCCTATTCTCTGAACAAGAAATGTGCTAGCACACAATTAAATATTTATTCATATTTGCTTTAGATGTATGTTTTCTAGAAGATGGAAGCAGAAGCATCCATGAGGGACTCAAGAAAGAGGATCTGATCTAGATCCCTTGGGAGATAAAAGGATTAATTTTAGTTAATTATTTTTCCAGGCTTGGGAGCAAGCTCACAGGGTACTTTGATATACAGGAGCCCCAAGTTTGATTCTTGACATGTTATAGTTCCCTGAGGACTATGGGAGTGATTTCCAATCACTACTGGAAGTAGTTTCTGAACATTCCCAGGTGTGGCCCCAAAAAACAGGTTTAAAAAAAATCAATGAAGAGTTCTAAGCCACCTCTTTTAGAGTTTAGACTTAAAATGGCCTAGTTCAAAGTATTACAACCATTCATTAGTAAGAATGCCCTTAATCCTCACTTTTGGAACTTAATGTTGGAATGATCTTTATGCAAAAATATTTTACCCATATTAAATGTCATCATTATGTACCAGTACTGTTTGTAAGTACTTTAATTTGTTAAATAGCTTCTTGAAACACTCATTTGTAGTAGTTACTTTTATTTTCAGCATTTTACAAATATGGAAACTAATGGACAAAACCAAGTAATAGATAGAAGACCACACTGTAGTAAGTGGGGGATTAATAGAGTATAGAAAGATAGCACTGATTGGATAAACGGTCTCTTTTATCTTTGCCACCTTCCGTGTTTGCTGGCTAAAATGTTTTATTTCACTCATGGAAAAAATCAATCATAGCTAATAGAATAACATTTTCTCTTTTTTTAGTTTTATGAAGACACCATAATTTATGAAATTGTTCATAATAAAGTTGTTTCAGGCATATAATGTCCCAATACCAATCCTACCTCCTATGTCCCCTTCCCTCCACCAGCATTCCCAAGTCCCCTACAATCCCTGGCCTACCAACTTGGTAGTAATATTAGCACTGTCCTCCTGTTGTTCATCTATTTGCTCAAGCGGGCACCAGTGATGTCTCCATTGTGAGACTTGTTGTTAGTGCTTTTGGCATATCAAATATGCCACAGGGAACTGGTCAGATTCTGCCGGGCGGGCGGGATACTCTCACTAGCTTGCTGACTCTCTGAGAGGGTCAGAGTAATCGAACCCAGGTTGGCCACGTGCAAGGCAAATGCCCTACCCACTGTGCTATTGCTCCAACCCTTGGTAGTAATATAACAAATTTATTTTATATTTCTCTAATAAAAAATAAATGATAAATGAAATTGCCATAAAATAAATTAACAAAAGTAAATTTGTGTTGATTGCTTGCTATATGTTTTAACCTAAGGAATAAAAACATTCAAATAATACAATATAATATACTGCTTGGGCTGGAGCGATAACACAGCGGTAGGGCGTTTGCCTTGCACACAGCCAACATGGCTGACCTGAGTTCGATTCCTCTGCCCCTCTCGGTGAGCCCAGCTAGCTACTGAGAGTATCTCGCCCGCACGGCAGTGCCTGGCAAGCTACCCGTGATGTATTCGATATGCCAAACACAGTAAGAACAGAAGTCTCCAATGGAGACGTTACTGGGCCCGCTCGAGCAAATCGATGAACAACGGGAGGACAGTGACAGTGACAATATACTGCCTAGTCTCACATGACTAAATTTTTAACTCTGGCATCAAAAATATATTGCATTAATTTTATTTTGCATTTGGATTTTTTGTGTTGATTATCACAACTTCCCAGTCATAAATTAAGATTTTCCCCCCTTAGCAGGCATATATCAAATTTATTTCATATTACTTGGTCCAAAGAATGGCAAATAGAATTATCAGAATATAAATCTATAAAAGTCAATTCATCATGATTAATTACTATATGTTTTTAAAATTTTTAATCTAGTAGAGGACAATTATGTGCAACATTATTGAGTGCCATACTATTTGGATTTTGTCATTTTGAGTATAACGTATCTTGGAGTTTTCCTAATTGTGTTAATTTTTACTGGAACCCTTCTGGCCTCTGAATTTTGTTGTCTGTAACACTCAACTCTGGGAAGTTCTTATTGATGATTTCTTTGATTGTTGTTTCTTCATCACATTCTCCTTCCTGTTCTTCAGGGACTCCCATTATTCTTGTATTGTTCCTCTTGAACTCATCACAGAGTTCTCTGTTATGCTGTTCATTTCTTTTCAGACTACTTTTCACCTTCTTTTGTTTCCTAGAGGTTTCCTCCTTCTCAACTTGGAACTCCTCAATCATTTGCTCAGCTTCTGTTACTCTGCTGTTCACAAATTCTATTATCCTTTTATATATATAATCACCTGCTAAGTTCTTCATCTTGGTCATTTCTGACTGTGGTACTTTTTTTTTTTTGGCCCATCCTTTTTTGTGCTTTGCTGACAACTTCGAATATTGTTTCTTTGAACTCATTCAACATTCTTATCAAGGTATCACTAAAGAAGTTGTCTGAGGATTGACTGATGTTGTTTATATCTTCATTGATATTTTTTTACTTGTGTACTGAGCTTGATATAGAAACCCTTCTATATGATTTCCCCATTGGATTTGTATTGTTTTTGCTGTGCTAGTGAGTCTTTGTAGTTAACCCCCTCTGGAAGATGCTGAAGGATTAAGCTATAGGTTGCTCTCTTTTCTCTATCTGTCCTCACAAAATGACAGGAAGAATAACTGAGAAACTTGTAATTTGTTGAGTAGATCTGTCACTCCAGTAGCTGTGGTATGGGCCTTAATATGGTACAGGTTGATTGTGGAGGTTGTTGGAACCCCCCTGGGAGGAAATGTCTCTGCCTCCTGTTTGATCTACTCCTCTTGTTAGTTATTGGTCCAGTGAGATGAGCAAAATAATGGAAAAAAATTTATTTGTATTATTAAAATTTTATCTCCACTTGAAATGGTGAAAAAGCAAGGGAAAGGTCCATAGTCACATATTCTGTCACAAAAATTCTTATATGATTTTGTAAAGGTTTTAATTCAAAATAAAAAATATGTGTACACACAAACACACCAATTTCCAAGGACAAATACATTAAAACTGTTAATAGTATGAAACCTTAAAAATTTTGTAGCATATGAGAGAATCATCCCCTAAACAGACTTTTATGTATGACTAAAATATCAATATGTCTCATAGAAAGACTTACCCAGTAATTATTTGATTTCATTATATTTCTGTGATTTTTTATCTATTAGTTTAAATTGTACAGTAATGCAATAAAACACATTATATATACCTATATATGTGTATATAGTTAATATATTTTATATCTAGTTATATTAAGTAACTGTTACATCCCTATCTTCCAGAAATAGCCCGTTGGTACTATAAAACTCAGTAATAAAGATTAGTGGATGTTTCTAAGTAAACAAAAGCTTTCCAGTTTAGAATATAACACTTTGTGAAAATGACTTTGTACTGAGAGAATTTTTATTTTAAGTATTATAAGAAGAAAATTAAAAAACAAATATACTTTCTCAGAAATTATTCTACTTTTAAAGATACAATAAAAATATTGCAAACTGGGGAATAGTCATGAAACTATCAGTAATGAGACAGGAGAGAGCATTTCACCACTTATAGCTCTCTTTCTCTCTTAATTTCATTGTTTTCTTTGAGGGAATGAATAGAGTTATGCTCAATCTTCTATTGCCTCTCCAAAATGGAAATAAAAAATGTCCAGAGTAATAAACCATTGTTTTGGTTTGGTTTGGTTTGGTTTGGTTTGGTTTGGTTTGGTTTGGTTTCTCATGGAACTCGTCACATTTCTTTCAGGCTGTTCTGAGCCTCTGGGGATGAAGTCGGGGCACATCCAAGACTACCAAATCACTGCTTCCAGTGTCTTTAGAACTCTCAACATGGACATGTTCACTTGGGAACCGAGGAAGGCTCGGCTAGACAAGCAAGGCAAAGTGAATGCCTGGACTTCTGGCCACAATGACCAGTCGCAATGGTTACAGGTAATAGTTTCAAAAACTGTTTTAGTATCTTCCTGCTGCTTCTCTTCCCTAGAAAATAGCCTGTTGTTTAGGTGAAGTCCGTGTCTTTACCGTCAAACATCTTTAACTGTGTCTTGTTCTTTGGTTTAACTAAATTGGTATAACACAATTCTTCTGAAGCCATGTCCATGTGCTATTTTCACTCTGGTGTTGATTTATAGATGCTACTGTCAGATTGATGCAGCATATTGTATCAGATCAAACTAGGCTTAGGTCAATTCAATTGATTATGAGAGCATTTACATTTTAACTCTCATCTGTCCTAATGTTTCATGTCAATATTGGTTCAAAAGCCTCGGAGCAGAAATCCAAAGTGCCTTGAAATCATGCCACTGACCTGCAGACTGTTCCAATAGATTCATGACTCATGGCTTATTGGCTGTACCTGTGGTTGCTAAGCAATGGGGCAATTTGATTAACTACTCAGAAAAGAGCTGGCTTATAGAAGAAAGGCTAGATGCTGCAGAATATATTTATCATTTGCAAGTGAAGTCAGGTTACTTTCAGCACTTCTTTGAAGGCTCTCCATGAAATGCACCTATCTGTGGAGTGCATTTAAATCTGCACAAATTTGGTAACGTTGTATGTATATGGTAAAAATAAAATGATGACAACTTAATCCCATAATAAGGTAACTTTATTTAAAAGATCTGAATTCTAGTCTTACTGATATTTACACTGCATCGTTGAGTTTCAAAATTGTGACAATTAATTGCGTTTTTGGAAATCATGAGAGCAATTAGAATAACAAAGATTATTCTAATACCTCTCCTCAAAACACATCTGAAACCTTTCTCACAGGAAAATTCCAGTAAGACCGACTCGCTCTTTCACTTGGCCTTATATTTCTTGTTTTCAAAGTTATAAATATCACTCTTTTCTTACTTTTTTATTAAGTCGTAGTGATTTACAAATTTATTTCTTGTAGAGTTCAGTCACGCAGCTTTCCAATACCAGTCCCACCACCAGTGTCAACTTTCCTCCAACAATGTTCCCAGGTTCCCTCCCATCACCCAGCCTACTTCCTTGACAATCACATTTTAAAGTTTACTTATTGTATTTTGTGGTCTCATGCTTACAGTGTTTTTAGCTCAGTGTTTTTTAATTATATATATACATATCACGATCACGACCACCCTGTTGTTCGTCGATTGCCTCGAGCAGGTGCCAGTAACGTCTTCTTCGTCCTAGCCCTGAGATTTTTTTTTTTTAAAGTGCCATATTCAAGGCTTTTTCAGGGTTAGGAGAATGAGACCCATCATTGTTACTGGTATTTGGCATATTGGGTATACCACGGGGAGTTTGCCAGACTCTGCCGTGTGGGCATGTTACATTTGGTAGCCTGCCAGTTTGACCGAATTAGGAATGAGATGATAAGATGTCATTTGCGGCCGCGCGCTTCCGGGAGCTGAGTGTGATGATCTCTGGATCCTGGCCGTTGTTGGAGTTACACGGCAGTTGGTGGGTGTAACTGTCTAGTTACTGGCAGGTCCAGTCCCAAACTGTACAGGCTTGGAGATCTCAGCCCCGGGTCCCACACACCTGGGTTCCTCTGTCAGTTCTTTTATGCGTGAGGCTCATCCAAGTGTGTGGAGAGTGCTCTCAGCAAGGCCTTGGCTGGGCCTCGGTGGTCTTCAGCTGTTGGGCCCTGGTGGAGACAGTCAGGCATAGGGTAGGAGACTCTGTCTTGTTCTCTCCCAGGAGCTGAGTGTGATGATCTCTGGATCCTGGCCGTTGTTGGATATATATACATATATATACATATAAAGGCCCTCCCGTTGATCGTCGATTTGCTCGAGCGGGCCCAGTAACGTCTCCATTGGAGACTTTGTTGCTACTGTGTCTGGCATATCGAATACTCTCGGTAGCTTGCTGGGCTCTCCGAGAGGGGCGGAGGAATCGAACTCGGGTCGGCCATGTTGGCCGCTTGTAAGGCGAATGCCCTACCCGCTGTGCTATCGCTCCAGCCCTATATATACATATATGCACACCATACCTCTACACTACTGTTGTACCTGATTTCCCTAATCTTAATTATTTTTTATTTTATTTTATTTTATTTTTATTATTTTTCTAATCTTAATTTTTATTCCTAAATTCTTTGGGTATCTATTTATCTGGAAGTTTATTGAGTTTTTTCATTAGCTAACAACCTGTGTAATTATGTATATCTTTCTCTTTCATCTTCTCTAAACATTTTCAAATTAGGTAATGGTTATTGTCCCAGAACTCAAGCAGATGCCCTTATCTTATGGTAACACTTATTAAATTATTCACTTAGCAAATGTGTTTTTGTGATGCACTTATGAAGTTTCAGAGAATATGGTAGTGATGGCACATGAAAAGGAGAAATAGTGATTATACCCTAAAACATCATTTCATTAAATATGTATTTGGTCTGTGCTTACCAAAAAATAACCATACCGTAATATAATAAAGAAAATGTTTATAGCCAGTGAAGTATCATGACCTGGGGTACACCACCAGGCTCAGAGCATAGAAGGATTGTTAAATGACCAAGCAGAGGTGTGGTCTGAACTTAGGCCATTTATTTTGAAACGTTAGGACTGATTCACAGATGTCTTTAGTAAGAAAACTGCACTGTGTGGTTAGTAAGTGTGTTTTTAGACTATAGGGTCTAATAACTATTAGCAGATTATTCCCTGTTTTTTGTTTGTTTGTTTGTTTTATAACTACTCATAATGGAAGAAGAGGGAATTGCATTTCTTCTGTTGTTAGTAATAAGGAGAAAAATAATGAATGGGGTCAGACAAGAGCCACAAGCCAGAAGTCTAGACGTAGCAATTAGAGGCAAATGGAATGTTTTTATCCAGAGTAGGTTCAACACTTGCTTAACACTGTATTCCATCATCTTCGCTAATACTTCCCAATGGACCAGGCCATCTCTCCCAGTCACACTTCTCATTATCTTTCAGTCAGCCTCACATTTTATGATGCAAGTTTTTGGTATTAGCTGATTTGGCAACTATTGTTGATATCAACTATAGAATATAACATTTAGCTTCTCTAAATAAGATTCCACCTCTTATGTACCATAACCTATCACATGATCTAGTAAACTGCCAACTCTTTCACCTATTAATCAATTTTGATTTGACTTGGTTTTGGTTTGGGGACCACACATCGTGGTACTCCTTAATCCTTGCTCTATGCTTAAGGATTTTCAGTGGGGCTTGAGGGATCATAAGTGATGCTGAGAATATAACACTGGTCAGCCACATGTAAGGAAAATGCCTTACTCCATGTAGTATCTCTCTGGCCTTTGTTTAAGATTTTTAAGAAGCTTTCTAACAAGCTTATTTGTTTCTAGACTTACCATAGAATAGTCTGTTCCCAGTGCTGTACTAGTTTGATTACTTTTTTCCTAGAAAGTTCATTGATTCTTTTACTCATTTCATTTACTTTCTCCCTATAAACCTTGGAATGGAGTGCAGATTCCTTAATATAGCCACGAAGTCTTGGCATATGTTGGCCCAGTTTTATCTCATAACACACTCCTCTAAATTTGCTTTACTTCTCATTCCTAACACTATCTCTCCCTTCTCACTTCTTTTATAAATGCCCTCATTCCAGAGGAGGAAAAATAGAAAAAGCAATGCACATCTGCCCAAAGCATTGCCAGCCTTCTGTTGAATAATCCTTTCAGCTACACTTTGGATACACCTTCCTCTGGGAAGACTTTACTACCAGCTGCACCTCACACCAAATATAGCTTAAGTGCTCTCTGCATTTTACTGTGTCAACTATAATTCTTTCACTTAACATTATCACACAGTATTGGAAACTGTTTTTTTCATGCACGATTATTTGTTCTGGAGGGCAAGACCACATCTGTCTGAATTTCTCAACTACTCTAGATTTTAATTAAGCACCTGTTACAATACTTAACACATGAATGAGTGATTTTATATGGCCATATTTGAATGATTTTATGTACCAAAATATGACCATATTTGAAGGTAGTGTCTTTAAGGAGGTGATTAGGAGAAATAAGGTCAGATGATCGAACCCTGTGACTTCATGATGGGTGTTATTACAATAGGAGATTAGGAATCAGACACACAGAGGTGACACAGCACACACCTTGCCACAAACCATGCACTTTGCCATGGTTTTGGAAAAGTACGCCATTTAAAAGCCACAGAGAGGTCTGAAAAGAAATCAGCCTGCTGTCATCTTAGTTTCAGACTGCTAACCTCCAGGATTTTGAGAACAAAAATGAATAATTCAAAGTATAATTCAAATTACTGATGTCGGTCTACTTAAAATTTAAGTTTTATTGCCAATTTAGGAGGCGAATTGTTGTTATCTTCAAAATTCAATAATATTTGATAAAGAAACCTAAAATATCATGTTCAAGATATAGCCTTTTAAATAAGGGAAATATAATTTCATAATGGATTGCCTTTCTGATATTTCCAAGTTTGTTTATACCATGTAGACTATCCAAGAATTTTTATTCCTGAATAGAATAGTTAAATATTTTCTTTCTTACTATATGATATCTGTTCATTGTAAAGGTTTCAATTGATCTCCAATTAACTTGAAGTAGCTAATATTATTGGTGAATCATAATGAAATGTGGAATAAAACTAAGTATTTTTCACCTTATAAGTAACATAGACTGTCTGGCAGACTCTTGAAATCTCCATAAAGGAAGTGCCAGTGGCAAATTTCTTTAGAAAGAATGAAACAGATATTTTTATATGAGTCAGGGTTGATCTTTAGTTCATTCCTCTATCCATCACTTCTTTTAAGATTGATTTTCATCTGTCTTCTTTAAGTTACTTGGCAAGAGGAAATTGATTCATTCTGCTGGTGACATATTTTCTGTCAATTCAAAACCAGGTTCTTCTGGGGTATATATCTATTTATTCTTATGTCAGAGCATATTCTGAATATCCAGTACAGAGTAAATTGACATCTTTGCCTTTGTTATT